CAGCTCATAATTTTGGGTTAGACAATAAGAGCATCACAGACATCAAGGCATCACAGTAATATGGACAGAGTTAAAGATCTTGGAAGCAGCAAAAATTACCACTAAGAACATTGATAATAATGAATCAGATTCAGTTAGAAGTGGATTTTGAAAGCAGTATAGCTTACCATATAGCACATCAGTGCCAATTAGCAGTTATGCATGGCATGGGAGGTAGTACAGATGTATATTGCTCACAGACATTTACCATATATCACAGAAGTTTCTACTCTATTCTGTTACCTTTTTTTCTATTCTATTTTATTCTTTTTTTCTCTTTTATTCTATTTGTTTTGCTCTATACTATTCTATTATTTTCTATTATATTCCCTTATTTTCTATTCTATTCTGTTCTGTTTACTATTTTATTTTCTATTCTATTTTTTATTCTTTTGTTTTCTATTCTGTTCCTTTATTTTCTATTCTATTTTATTATATTCTTTTGTTTTCTATTCTGTTCTTTTTTACTGTTTACTATTCTATTATTTTCTATTCTATTCCCTTATTTTCTATTCTATTCTGTTCTGTTCTACTCTGTTATTTTCTATTCTATTATTTTTCTATTCTATTCCTTTATTTTCTATTCTATTTGATTCTCTTCTTGTTTAGAATTTGATTTTGTTTTCAAATTCATTTTTGATTTGAATTCGAATTTTGGACTAAATTTTGTTTAATTTGTTTCGTTACTATTGTATTCTATTGTGCCCGTCTGTAGTAGCTCTTTCCTCTCTCACTGCATTCACAGCGCACAGTGGCAGCAGTAAGAGCCATTGACTCCTGCTGCTGTCAATCAGATACTGTGAGCAGAGAATGGGGCCAAACCACACTGTGTGTGTTTATATATGCACACAGCCTGGCTTGGGAGCAAGCCTGGACATTTGCCCCCATAGTGAGCAGCTTACTATGGGGGCAGACACAGAAGTGGAGGAGCAAAGAGTGCCAGCGGGGGGACCCCAGAAGAAGAGTTTCATGGGAGCTCTGTGCAATACCATATAGCAGGTAAGCATAACATATTTTTTATTTTAGGTAAAAAAAATGACCCTTTAGAGCAGTGGTTCTCAACCTTTCTAATGCCGCGACCCCTTAATACAGTTCCTCATGTTGTGGTGACCCCCAACCATAAAATTATTTTCGTTGCTACTTCATAACTGTAATTTTGCAGTGGGAGGAATAGTGCCACGTCATTGGTGTCAGTGGGGGGAGGAATAGTGCCCCATCGTTGGTGCCAGTGGGGGGAGGAATAGTGCCCCATCGTTGGTGCCAGTGGGGGGAGGAATAGTGCCCCATCGTTGGTGCCAGTGGGGGGAGGAATAGTGCCCCATCGTTGGTGCCAGTGGGGGGAGGAATAGTGCCCCATCGTTGGTGCCAGTGGGGGGAGGAATAGTGCCCCATCGTTGGTGCCAGTGGGGGGAGGAATAGTGCCCATCGTTGGTGCCAGTGGGGGGAGGAATAGTGCCCCATCGTTGGTGCCAGTGGGGGGAGGAATAGTGCCCCATCGTTGGTGCCAGTGGGGGGAGGAATAGTGCCCCATCGTTGGTGTCAGTGGGAGGAATAGTGCCCCATCGTTGGTGTCAGTGGGAGGAATAGTGCCCCATCGTTGGTGTCAGTGGGAGGAATAGTGCCCCATCGTTGGTGTCAGTGGGAGGAATAGTGCCCCATCGTTGGTGTCAGTGGGGGGAGGAATAGTGCCCCATCATTGGTAATAGTGACACCAATGATTGGGCACTATTCCTCCCACTGACACCAATGATACTTACCTTGCGGACCCCTGCTCCAGCCTGGGCTCGCTCGCTCCCTCCCTCTCCCATGGTACAAACACTTACCGGTCAGATGGCTTCCTTCTCCGGCCGCTTTCCTCCTCTTCACTCGCTCGTGCTTCGCGGTGCCGCTCGGCTCCTCCTTTCCAAGCTCCACCTCCTCGCCGGTGATTGGCCACCTGTGTGCCTCTCTTGAGCTACAGTTCCGGCGGCCAATCACCGACGAGGAAGGATTGATCCCGGGGGTGTGTCCAGATGACAGGGACGGCATGTCATCCCGCCACACCTGCAGACGGATCAAGGAGCGGTGTCTCGGTTCCTAAGGCCATCGGAAATATGTGTTTTCCGATGGTCTTAGGCGACCCCTGGGAAAGTGTCGTTCGACCCCCAAAGGGGTCGCGACCCCCAGGTTGAGAACCGCTGCTTTAGAGTAATGTTAAGTCCTCCTTAAATTACCTATATTGAATGATAACCATTTAATGGGATTGAACCCATTTGTGTGCAAGGGATTTTATTAAAGTAGTCATTTCTTTTGGGGTTGCACCGATATATCTGCGGCCGAAATGTACCGGTCGAAACAAGTTATCAGCATTTTGTCGATGAAAAAGTTGCTAGTAATGGCCATTGAAACTATGCAATTTTGCCTGTGATTTTACTGCGATTTTACCCACGATTTTGCAGCGATTTTACCTCGTTTATGGTGTGTTTTTCATAGGTCATCTGACTCAAAAACAGCATCAAAATGCAACACATGTGTGTTTTTTCAAAAAAATATGGATAGCGCCACAAAATCTAAACACTATACTGAAAAATAAGCACAACCTAACCTTAGAAGGTGCATATATCAGTAAAAAAAAAAACAGGTGTGCGCTCATATTAACAACCCAATTATAAATATATCTACAATATATAATCATATTAATAATAAAAATAACTAATAGTGTCCAAATAAATTGTGAAAAAAATATCTATATATGTGCAAAGTCCAAACACCAATAAAGACGATCTTTTTCTTTGTGTCTTAAACGATTTTCAATCCCATAATGATATCTCTGTGTCAAACCAAATTCACCGTGCAAATAATCCACCACCAGATAAATTAAATGAACTCACCAGAGCAATATGCTGATCAAATTATAAATCAGCATAAGCACTTTATTCTCTGGGAGCAATACTCTGCAGGAGAATAATCAGCAATATGGAGTAATTCCCTAAGGCCTCCACCTCTTCATAGGCTCAGAATGGTCCTCGGAAGTTAAGAGAGGAAAAGCTCATAGTGCAGTATCGTTAAAAACAAATATTTTATTTAAAATAAATCATTGCACTCACAATAAATGGTGTCTAAGCCGACACCAGCACAAAACGGCGTTCTCAGTATAAACAAACCCAGCCTTCTCCGGCATCCACCGACGCCGACAGCTCAGGGAACGCCGTGACGTCACATCCACAAGCTCCTCCCTACGCGTTTAGTCACCAGACGTCCTCACGGAGTGTGTTTTTGATGGGTTTTCAATGCATTTCAAGAGTTAGGCTGGCCATAGATGGGCCGTTTATCGGCCGATGAACGAAAAAATCGGTCGTTGCCAATGCTGCCACCAATGTCTACGAAAAATGTGGATTTTCCAGCATGACCGATGAAAAGAAACGAGAAGATCTACGAAAAATGGCCAACGTCATTGCCCCACTAACGGCGTGAATATCGGCCAATTTTTCGTGTGGACGAAAATTCGTCCGATAAACGAACCGTCTATGGCCTGCATTACACCAAATTTTGCGCTCTCCAGTTTTAGTAAACAAACCCCATTGTGTGCAAAAATGGAAACAAATCAGGAGCTGATTGTAATATGTGCATAGTGAAGTAGGTGTCACTACATACATAATTCAGTGCTCTGCTTTGTGCAAGCTCCTACTGTCAGCCTCTCTGTTCTGTCATCATATAAATAAGATTGTTCAGGGAGGTCCCAACATAAATATTATATAGCAAGGGAATACTACTGCTCAGAGTCTACCTTGGGTTGCTGATATCACAAGATGGCAGCCACCAGCAGCAGTCTCAGGCCTGTTCAGTTTCATAATATCATTAATAATTATAGGAAGATTAAATGCACAAAGTCATTTGACATTCATATTATCTTATGGAATGATTGTTGATGATATTAATAGTATGGGGACAATGAATACAGCATCACTGGGCTAAGTGAAAAATAGATTTTTGGTTTTCCATACACTTTAATTAATCAACTCCATAGCTTTGAGTGATATACTGAATCAGTGAATCAGTACTGTATCAATGAAGGCAGAAGATTCTTCATAGAAATACAGGAAAAATGTGATTGAGTATCCATAAGAAATAATGCAAATGCAAACAGTATTCCTAACCTAACAAATGCGACAAACAATTGCTAATAGGTTGTGATATAATATGAGACAGAAATAGTGATCCTCCGAGTTAGAGACAAAAGATTAAAAATCATTGTATTTAATATGTATCTCCTATCATGTTTTACAGTGAGGGAGGGTAAGAGATAAATGAGATAGTAAGTTAAAATTTTTGATGCATAGCTCATAATTTAGGCTGCATTGCAAGAAGGTAATTGCTTCATGCTGCTAAAAATGTTCCGATCTGTGAGCTCTTGCTGTGTAAGCAGGATTGTGCCGCAAACTATTGTAAACTAAACAACTGACAATGATAGATGTAAATCATTTCCCAACAAAATGTTATGCAGCACCCATCAAAAAGAGAAGAGAATTACAAGACTTAATTATCTGCTTCACTAAGTCCATAGAGGTGAAAAGATCACAATGCCCTGCATGTGTTGTTGTCATTCATATAATTAATTGCGTCACCTTTGTAGTTCCTTTAACGGAAGATAATTCTTAATATTTGGCAGCAGAAATAGGTGAACCTTTCCATGATCCAACCCAATGCCTAATTTGGTTGCTTACCGCTTTCTTAGATTACCCTTTTTCATAATCAAACCTCATGGCATTTTTTAGTTGTTTACTATTTTCATATAGGCTATTTAACCGCTTGCCATCCGCACTAATACTAATACATTAATACACACTAATACAATACAACTAACACACTAATACTAATACATTAGCACAAATACTGCTACAGGGCGGCACGGGTGCGCAAAATATACGTGGTTTTGCAGTTCTGTGTAGGGTGCACATCCGCGCCCTACGCGCGCCACCATTCGCGGCCTTGGCTGTCAATCCCTGGGTCTCGGCTGGTGATTACTCACCGGCACCTGGTGATTGCCAAGTATTACCAATGGGTGAAGAAGAAAACTCTTATGTAAACAATACAGTTCTCTCCCCTGTCAGCTCCTGCACACTGCTGTGTATGGCTCTGCATAGCAGAGCCATACACAGCAGTGTGCTTACAGTGAAGCAAACACACAGGACATAATGTAAAACAGCACACGGTTAACCCTTTGATCGCCCCAGATGTTAACCCCTTCCTGCCCAGGGCCATTAGTACAGTGTCAATGCTTTTTATTAGCACTGATCACTGTATTGGTGTCACTGGGGATGTCAGTGACACCAAGTCAGTTGCCCTCAGTGTCAAAATGCCAGCCACAGTCCGGAAGTACCGCTATAAGTCACTGATCACATTAGTGGTAAAAAAAAAAAAAAATTCCAGTATATATACTGCCAAATGCTATAACTTTCACGTAAACCAAAAAAGTAAAAAATATAGTTTTTTTTCTCAAAATTGTCTGTCTTTTTTTTGTATAGCGCAAAAAAAAAAAAACGCACAGGTGATCAATTACCACTGAAAGAAAGCTCTACTCATGGGAAAAAAGGACATAAATTTCATTTGGGTGCAAGACTGCACCGTTGTCAGGTAACCCCCCTGGCGGTATTCCCGAGTGTAGCTCGGGGTAAACTTTCAGTACCAAAAGCAGTAACCCTGAGCTACACTCGGGATTACCCCGCAGCGTTGCTCCAGGATCTCTTTTTCACCTACATTGTCCTGCGCTCTCGTGATGTCCCCCCTGTAGTGTCCCCGGCCATCTCCTCTGGCTGATGCCGGCATCTGTCTTCCGGGTTCCGTTCCCTGCGAGCGTTGGGACGAACGGGATGTACAGGGGACGGCACCAGCGGGAAATTCAAAAATTTTAAAAGTGCATTCACTCAATACACTAAAATCACATAGTAAAACATTACTGTATCAAACCATTTCACATACATTTTTACTGTTCTTTCTGCCTGGAAACTGAGAAAAGTCCATGGTGTCCAAAAAGCGTCCCTTTAGGTCAAAAGCGGTTTTTCGACCAGCTAGAGAACAGCGATAGTAAATTAGAACCACTTGCAGAATTGAGTGATAATGATTCGTGGGGAAATGTGTCATCAGACACTGAAAACGATTTTGCGACTAAGCTCAGTGATGTGCGAGCTTGGCGCTATATTTCTAATTTCAGTGTTTTTTAGTGTGATTACATTATTGAATTAAATTTATTATTATATTATTATTTTTTATGATTATTTATTATATTATAATTTAATTTCGTGTTTAAAATTTTATCCTACCGGGATGTTTACTAGACTCTTGTTCGGACAAATTTCAGTGAGTTGTTCCTAAAAATTACAGGCCTACAATAAAAAAACAACATATTTCCATGCAAAAAATGTACCGCTTTGAGCACAGAAATATTGACATAATCATAACCGCTAGGGAGGTTAAAGTAATACAGCGCCTTATCGCAAAAAATGGCCTGATCAGGAATGGGGGTAAATTCAAAGGGGGACATTTTACATCGGACCTTCTTTCTTAAAGCGGAACTTTACTATAACAGTTTGATAACAAATAATGATATTTAACAAAAGAATATACATTCCACATTTATAATTACACTACAAAATTAGTGTGCTGTAAATTGCCTCCAGCATTACTCCTGTTTTTTCTTGCTGGAGGCCGCCATTTTGCTAAAGCTCAGAGCAGTCACTTCCTCTCCCCCTCTCCTTGGTCTCAAAACTCACTTGCTTCAATGAACACTTGAGGGCCGCCCTATAGCACTTTTACTGCTCAACGGTGACCCTCCTGTGCAAAATCACGTATATATACATGATTTAGCACTTCCACTATAGGGGACACATGCACCGCTGGCTCGCTTCTGCTTTGAACACTCACAGCAGAAGCCAATCTGCGATGTCACTGGTTTCCACAAAGTGTCAGTATAAAAAATGTCTACCGTAATATCACAATCCTGCTATAAGCTGCTGATTCCTGCCATACTAGCATAAAAAAAAATTTTTAACAATTCCAGTATATGTCCTATAGTTTGTAGACACTATAATTTGCACAAACTAATCAATATACACTTTTGGGATTTGTTTTTACCAAAAATATGTAGCAGAATACATTTTGGCCTAAGTTTATGAAGAAATTAGATTTTTTTAAATTTTTTGTATTTGATATGTTTTATAGTAGAAATTAAAAAATATTGGGTTGATTTTCAAAATTGCGTGCCTTTTTTTGTTTATAACACAAAAAGTAAATGCAGTAACACAAAAACCGTAGAGTTGAGCAAATATCAAAGTTCTATTTGTGGGAAAAAAATTTGCACAGCGTTGCATGACTGCACAATTGTCAGTTAAGTAACGCAGGGCTGTATCACAAAAAATGACCTGGTCAGGAAGGGGAATAAATCTTCCAGAGGGCAAGGATTAAAATATGTATATTTGCAGCCTTGATTTTATGTCTTGAGGAAGTTATAGAGGAAGGCTGACAGAAGCACTTGAGGGAAAGGAGAGAATATCAGAAGAGTAAGATAAGGCACTATCCTTGTAAGTTTAACTCTTTTGTGTCTCCCTAGCAAGCATTTGTTCTGTTACTTCTGCTTTTCTTTCTAATCTGTCTTCCTTCCACACAGTCGGTGTCATTCCTATTACTTCTTTCTCTTTCAGAAACAGTAAACAAAGCTGTCAGCTGATTGTCCTCTAGTGGGTCTGATTTTAGACCAGTACCAAGAATAGAGAGAAGCTGAGCATATGCAGAGTGAGACAGTGCATTACTAAGATTTTAAACATTTAAAGCACTTATTTTTAATGTTTTACAAAGCAGTACCTGCAAAAGAGGCCTGCATGATGATCTAGAAGGACTTAATTTTCTGATTAAAGTTCCACAAATCTAAATCTAATGGTAAAAAAAAATGAGTACACTCTTGTCCTGTGCTAGAACGTTCTCAAAGGATTTGGAATACTCATCATCCCCAGGGTCTCTCCAGGATCATACTGTCACCCTCTCGTGTGGAAGTCGGGGTAGGTAAGTATATTTTTACTGACCATCTTGGTAGAGGCAGAGCATTGTTTCCTCATTTCAGAGCCTCCAGCAAGGAGAACAGTAAGCAGTACAGTGGTGACAATACCAAATGTTGCTCCACAAATTAGAGCACCAGAGCCTTACTACAGATATACAGCTACAAGAGAGCCTAAGTCCTGTCACATACCTGATAGTACACTGTTATTTTTTAGAAAGAATTTGCGGCAGAAGGTACATTTTTTCAGGGAACTGCTTGAGCATAATTAACACTTCTAGATGTTCCTAATACCATAGGGGATCTTCACTGTTTGGCTTCAAGTCTACTTTAATAACTGGAATTTTTTTTTACACCTTTACAACCAATGGTTATTTTTTAGAGGGGGATGTGACCTTGGAAATAACATTTACAATCTTTGGATCATGAGCTAATATCACAGGAAATAAAAACAACATAGTATTGAAATATAGCCTAGAGCCACTAGATGTTCCCAAGTCTCTATAATTATAATTCCCTTAAGGAGCCTACAACCTTAACAGGATTTGAGGAAATTCTAGTGGAAGAGGAGATGGAACATAACATTTTTTTCCACTGGGGCCTACAGCTTTTCATAGTCAGTCTGAACATGGTCTTAGATACATGCATCAGGAGCACTTGTGTTTTTTTTTAATGTGTGGCTGCACAAGGCTGTTTATATGCTACCAGATTAAAAACATTAAAATGTACCTGTTATGAGAGGATGTCAGGAATGGACTCACCACTGGTGGTGCTGTGGCTCACTTGCTCTGTGGGCTTCAGTACCAGGTCCTACCAGAGGGTGCTTTCAGCAGCCAGGGTCTCACTCCTGCAATCAAGCCATCACCTGAGGCTGATTGCAGGAGGTCTATTTAGGCAGGACCAGGCCTGCAATCAGTGCCTTGGTGTTTGTTTCCCATGGACCCCTGTACCTGTTATCCTGTGTTCCTGCATATCTGCCTATCTGATTTGTTGCTGACCCTGCTTTGATCCTGACCTCTGCTGGCTTCTCCTGCCCTGATCCCTGGCCTGTCTGACTTCTCTTTGGATACCCTCATTGGATCTGATCTCCTGTTACTCACCTGGCGAGTGACCCGACTATTCTGTGCCTGCTGCCTTGTACTGCGCTGTCCCCACCGTTACCGACCTGGCCTGTCTGACCACGCTTCTGCTCAGCCATCCATCCGTCCTGCACGGACCCATCCACCTCTTCACGTCAGGCTCTCCTCCAGAATATACCTCTGGCGGATCCCTCTACCACAAGTGGGTGTACTCAGGGGCCGCGACCTGGTCTTTGTCTGCTCCAAGTCCATCCCCACCATCAGGGGCCCTGGTGAACAAGCAGACTGGGACTTAGACTACACACTCTGGGGAATCGTATTCCGTGGGTTGCTAGAGGTACCGCCAGGCGGTGCATTACAGACCCATACGGCCTGCCTGACCATTCCACCTCTCCAGCCCTGACTACGCTTGTGTTCCCACACATTTCTGGTCATACCCTGATCCCTGACAGAGGACATGTTTCTTGTAATTTGTAGGATTGATTTACTAAAGCAGCATGTTCAATTTGCAAAGTGAATGTTCACTTAAATTAATAGGTAAGTCTTTATTTACTCTGAATACTCAATCATGTGCAAGATAACAAAAAAAAAAGTATTTTTGCTTTCACATGACTGGATGATTAAAGTAAACTCAGTGTCACCTTTTTTGCCAAACTAAGTGAACATACACTTTATAGAGTGAACATGTTTTACTCCTTTAACAGATCAACCCAATGGTGTAAAGAGCAATATGTAGCTTTCAGTGTGGTGAGAATATTGTGGGAGGGTTAGGTGCCAAGAGATGCATTACCCTGAAGTACCCCTCTCACTCGTCTTTCTTGTGAACCTAAGACTATTTCAACCTAGAACCCTAACAATTACATCCCCCAGAATGCTAGTACTAGCTTTCTTAAATTTGTTACAAGAACAAGAGGCAATGGGAAATATAAAAATAGGGACAGTTGTATCTCTGAGAGGACAAGGAGGAAAATCTTTTTGGTATGCAAATAGCACAAAAACTCTGACATCCGTCTATCCAAATGTAAAAAAGTTTTGGCTGTAGATACACTTTAACCACTTGCCCTCCAGAGGATTTACCCTCCTTCCTGACCAGACCATTTTTTGTGTTACGGCACTACATTACTTTAACTGACAATTGCGTGGTCATGCAACGCTGCACCCAAATTAAATTTATGTCCTTTTTTTCCTACGAATTGAGCTTTCTTTTAGTGGTATTTGATTGCCTGTGCATTTTTTATTTTTTGTGCTATAAAAAAAGTCCAACAATTTTGTGAAAAGAACAATATTTTTGATTTTTTGCTATTGAACATGTCCAGTAAAAAAAATTTAAAAAATCTAATTTCCTCATAC